ACAGAAAACCCACAGAATGGGAGAAAATCTTCAGTGATACATCTGACAGAGGTTTAACATCCAGAATATATAAAGAACTCAGAAAACAAAAAGAATTGAGAAACCAAATGACCCAATAAAAAGATGGGGCTAAAAACCTAAACAGAGAGTTCTCAAAGAAGGAAACAAAGATGGCTTAAGAAACATCTCAAAAAGTGTTCCACATCATTAGTAATTAGGGAAATGCAAATTAAGACCACCCTAAAGTATCACCTTACCCCAACAAGACTGGCTAGGTTCAAGAGAACAAATGATACCAAATACTGGACAGGATGTGAAGAAAGGGCTCATTCACTGCTGATGGGATTGCAAATTCGTGCAACCCCTACGGAAAACAGTGTGGAGAACTCTTAAAAAACTAAAAATGAGCCTACCATATGACCTGGTTATACTACTCCCTGCCATATACCCAAAGGACTCATCCTATTGTAGAGACACTTGAACAACCATGTTTGTTGCTACTCTTTTCACAACAGCTAAGAGTTGGAAGCAACCTAAGTGTCCTTCAACTGATGAGTGGTTAACAAACATATGGTATATTTGCACAATGGAATTCTATTCAGCAGTAAAGAAAGATGAACTAATGAAATTTGCAGGTAAATGGATGGATCCAGAAACTGTTATACTAAGTGAGGTAACACAGACTCAGAAAAATAAAAGATGCACGTTCTCCCTCATTTGTGGCTCCTACACCAAATCCTTTTAAATTCCATGTCCTTTTAATAAGATGATTCTGTACAACAGTCTCTTCTGCATAAAATAACTACCATCATCACGACTTCAGCTGAGCCTGATTGCTAAACATCGTCACAATTGGACTTGTTGGTTGTTAATCAGACTCCCCATGGCATACTTCACAGAATTAGAAAAAAAAATCCTTAAATTCATGTGGAAGCACAGAAGACCCTGGATAGCCAAAGTAATTTGGCCCTAATCATACATGGTCTTCTGGATTTGGGGAGGGCTAAAGTATACAATCTAGGCAAGGCTAGGAAGAGAAGGCTTGGCCCATACTTAGTAAAGACTTTCCAGTGTGCATACCCTCAGGTCATTAATACACTTCAGCAACCCCTCAGTTATCTCGGTAAGTAAGCTTAGAAAATTCATTGGTTTCCCCAGTAAAACTTTAATCAAACATTGGTTTGACACTATCACCTGATATTTGATGAAGGTGCCAAGACCACACAATGGAGGAAAGACAGCATCTTCCACAAATGGTGCTGGCAAAACTGGATCTCTACCTATAGAAGAACAAAACTAGATCCTTATTTTTCACCTTGCGCAAAAGTAACTCCAAATAGATAAAAGACCTCAATGTGAAACAGGAAACCCTGAAACTATTAGAAGAAAATATTGGCAGTAACTTACAAGACATAGGTGTAGGAAAGGATTTTCTAAATTGGACAGAAGTTGCTCAGGAATTAAGGTCAGCATCAACAATGGGACCTCGTTAAACTAAAAGGCTTCTGTACAGCAAAAGAAACAATCAAAGAAGGGAAGAGAAAACACACAGAATAGGAGAAAATCTTCACCAGTGACACATCTGACAGAGGTTTAATAAACAGAATATAAAACAACTCAAAAAACAGAGAA